TTTTTCTATCTCTCAAGACCACTTTATCTTTCTCATCCAGGAAGTGAGGGCAACGTGTCTACTTGAGCCTCAGGAAGAGGGATCTCCAGCCTGTCATGGGTACTGGAAAAGATGATGGAGGGAGAGGGGGGGATACACAGGCACCGAGCCAGAGAGACAGGAGTAAATGCAGACTTTCAAGACAGCCTGAGAAAACAGAGACAAAGAAGGGGTAGGAGAGATGGGGGGCAACACAGAAAGGAAAGCATGAGAAAGTAAAGGCTGGGGGATAGAGACAAACAAGAAGGAGAAATAGACACCAAGAATGAGACAGATGCAAAGGAAAGAAGGAAAAACCCTAAGAAAGATCCCAGACCTACATTCAAAGACTCCGCAATGGAGAGGGACTGAGAGACAGAGACACAAAAGGAGGGAAAAAGAGAAAGAAACAAAAAGAGAAACAAAAAGTGGATGCCCTGCCCTGTCTGGTCCAACCACGAGGCTTGTGTCTGCCCTGGAGGGAGGAAAGGTAGGGGCGCTGACCCCCTCTGGAAGGGACTAAGCTGCTGCCTCCAGACAGGAAAAGAGCTAAGCAAACCTTAGGCAGCGGGGTGGGGGTGGGGCTGGGGGTGGGGTGGGGGGTGGGCGGTGAGTGCGAGGGGCCAGGAGGAAGGGTAAGCCTCCACTGGGTTCAGCACTGCACGAGGGAGAGCCAGGGTTAGGGGTGGCACGGGAGTGCCAACGTTTGTGCGCGCGCGGACACGAGGGGTGGGGGATGCTAGGGCGATTTTCGGCAGGATCCACGAACAGTAAGCTAGGCCCACCCCAGGGAGCTGCTTCCCTGGGATCCGCGATAATGATATCATTTCCCTGCTTGGGAGCTTTGAGCCCCAAAGAGGATAGGAACCCTACAGCGGACACCTAGTCAGTTTCAAACCTCTCTGTATCCAAAGAGGCGGGGATCCGAGGATCCACTGGGCCAGGGCATAGGGCAGACACGGGGAGTCATTTCTACACTGCTGGGCGACCAGAAAGCTCCTCCCCAGCAAAAGTTTATATATCGACCGACTCCCATAGGAAACTTCTTAATTAGGCCTCAGACCCCTGGAGAAACACGGATGCCCTTATGTCAACAGCGTTCCCAATTTAGCGACACCTCGGACCGAAAAGAGCTCGGCGGCAAATCGGGGTGAAAGTTTAAGAGGGAATAAGTGTGTAACAGACCCTCGCCAGACCTCACACACGCCGAAGGAAATATTTACAGCGAACTTGCCAAAGTAAACTACCCCGCCTACCCACCATCCTTGCCCCGTCCTCCTCCCTTTTTTGTAAACTTCAGATAAACACCATTCGATCGCAAAAGGGTCCGTCTGTCCCCTTTATAGTTGAGGCAAGCGGTGTCGTAGGGAAAAGTGGGACAGCTCAGAGGCTTCGGGGCCTTTCTCCTGCAAGGCTAGAGAAAGCTTCTCTACCGCATCGGTGGCCTGGGCTGGGGACGGTTGATTTGTTTTGCTTCCCCGATCTCACATACAAACTTTATTTTCTGGGTCCTCTGCTCCCCCTTTAAGGTTAAAACACTCGCTTACAGTCACACACACTACCGCCTTAAAAGCTGCAGACATGACAGATAGGAGAGAGTTTAAAAATTAATTTATATATATTTTTAATTCTAGGTCTACCAATAAGTGAAAAACTCCTTTTGCAATTCGGAGACACCAGGAGATCCCTGGGTCTTCTTTGTGACCCGGCATTTGTCCTCCTCCCTTCTGCCGCCCTTAAGGCACCCTCTTCCCGGACTCCAATGAGGACCAGGCTCGTTCAACGTGCCCCCTGCGTCTTTTGTTGCGCATGAGGCCAAAGGAGAGGAGATCGACGAGTCTGCGGAGAGAAAGAGCCCGCGGAGAGCCCGCGGCTGGAGCCTAAAGCCGGGGCCGGGGCGCGCTGGCCGGGTGGGTTCTCCCGGAGGCCAGGGCCCGGCACAAGTCTTCGGAACAAGCTGGCCAATGTTTAACCCGAACGCAGTGGCCACCAGGCTGCTTTTGTTTGTTCGCAAATTAATCACCCAGCGCACGGCCGGCGCCAGAGTGGGTTTATCACCCGCCGGGAGGGGGGCGCGGCAGGCACGCAGAGACAAAGAGGAGTTCGCACCTTCCCGCTTTTGATCCCAGAATTACGGCGGCCGCCCTGCATAATACGAGCCTCCTGGGGCCGAGTCTGGGAGGTCAGTCATAATTGGCGGAAGTTTGCAGACCATTAGCAAGATGTCGACATTTTTCGACTCGGAACCCCACAAACTTTCCTCTCCCCCTCTCCTTTGCGCGCTGCGGGTTGCGAGGGGAGGTGGGAGCCAGAAATGGCAAACTGGGGTGACCCCAGGGTTAAGTCAGAGCTTCGGGCAAAAATAGGCAATTGAAGGAGAGGACCAGCGTGAGGGGCAGAACTCGCTCTAGGTCCCCAGACAGAAGCCAGTCGAGATATTTACAAGTAAAATCAGCAAGCTCCCTCCCATTTCCAAAGTGGACCCGAGGCCAGATCGCGGAGGATCGGATAGACACGTCTCTCTGCCGAGCGCGTGGACGCTTGGGGCACCAAGTGGGTGAGGAGGGGGTCTGTCATAGCGTAGCTGCAGAACTACTTTCCTTGCGCTCGAAGCGGCAGGACAGAGATTGGCCTGCGGGTGCAAGGAAAATCAGATCTCGGGGATTTGGGGCCACTCGAAGGCACCGCGAAGCGGCCCCAGGGCCGCGGAGGCGAGCGACGTGGGGGAGGGGGTGCTTGTGGCCTCCTGAGACTCATGAAACCCTGCAGTGACCTCCGTGGTCGGCAGAAGGAGGGGGAAGGCCCGGGCTCTCTCGCACTCTTCACGATGGGGCCGCAGGGGACGCGGGAGGGGGCGTTGTGAGCCAACTCTTTGGGCCCCTGCCACCTCTTTCTTTTCTGTCTCTCTCTTCTTCTCTCTTCTTAACCACAGGGGGAGAGAGACACAGAGGACGCCAGAGAAAGACCCAAAGGGAAAGAAAGGGGCGAGATGGAGCGCCAGACCGAGCGCGCAGAACCACTCTATTCTCTCTGGTGACTTCAGGGAATTCTTAATGCTGGCGCCAAGCTCTCTTAACCATGTGCGTCAAAAATGCGAGGCTGGAAAAGCTTGTCGCCTCAAAAGTTCCTCCCCTATCTCGGCGCGGCTGGCCTACAACGGCACTGCACGTTCACCCTTCACTTGCCGCCGCTTCGGGTCTAGGAGCCGGGGGTTTACGGGGTGCACAGGCCAACGCCAGAGAGGCCTGAGCTGGCCTACACAGACACACACATCCGAAGCCGGGGGTTTCTTAACCCCCTAGGCCCCGAAACCGGCCCTTTCTCCATTCCCTTTCCATCCAAAGAAGCTCCCATCTCAGGAAAGGTAAAATAACATCCTCAAGATTTCCCTCCCTATCAGCAAGGACAGCCCAACTCATAGCCCCCTCCCCGCCCCCACGGGGAACTGTGGGTTTGGGGGCACCCTCGGACCCCGACATGGAGCGGCGGTAACAGAATTACCAACGCCGCTATCAGCAAGTAAGATCCAGTTGTCGCCCTCCCCTCCGGCCCTCGCTCAGGCCCCCACCCTACCTGTACTGAAACCAGTCATCTCGCCTCTGGGGTGGGGGCGTTTCACCGTTTGTTTTACAAATTCGCCCCCGACTTCTGGCGAGATAAGTCCGGGGGATAGAGAAAGAACTGAGGCACCCAGAGATAAGTGCGATGCCTGGAGGAGACACCAGGCTGGCGCGCCTCCCCCAACCGGCTCGCCCACCCCGTACCCGCAGCTCCGCACCCAGCCGGCCCCAGAGGTGAGGACAGCGGCTTGGATGGCACAGGCCCAGAACCTAGATCTTCGCTGTGTTCACTTTGTTCAGATCCTCCATTCTCCCTTCTACACCCACACACACATCCAGGTAGAATATGAGGGTCCGCATCCAAATGGAAGACGAGATCTAAAAGGGTTGGTAGGTGTGTTTCATAAAAATCCCAGTCCATCTCCCCCAGGGAGCGCAGACAGGGCCAGCCGTGCAGGCTGTGTACGTGTTTGCGTGTACGTGTTTTTCGGTTCGTGGCTCGGTCCCAGTATGTTGGCGCGTGTTCGGGTACAGACGCGCTGGGGGTGTTTGGGTCTCCAATGTGCACGGCCGCGGGTGGGGCGCGGTGGAGAGGGAGTCCACACACGCGTGTGCTGGGATGTGGCTGCATCCATGTGCTTCTGTGTCCGTGAGCCCAGGCGCAAGGGAGACCCGCACCGAGACACCCGAGCTCGAGAGCCCTGTAGCGGCGGCCGGGCGGAGCTTGGCTCCACGTGGGGCTGGAGAGCGCGCAAGCCTGGAGTCTTGGCGCTCGCCTCGCGGCTGCTGCCGGCTTTTGTTGCGCGGAGCGGCCGAATGGCAGCTCGCGCGAGGTTCAGGCGCCCGCCCGGCTCGCCTGGGGACCGGGGAAAGAGGAAGAGCTGGAGAGAGAACCGGCCGCGGCTGTCGGAGAGGCGAGCCAAGCGCGCGAGAGGCGAGCGCCCCTGCCCGGCGCCCGGGCGCGCTCTCCGCCTTCCTCGCCCGGCTCGCTCGCTCGCGCCCTCCCTCTCTCCCTCCCCCTTCCTCCCGGGCCCTGCCTCCTCCCCCGATCCGCGGCTGGATGACTGAGGCATTTCAGTCCTGGGGCTGAGCGAGAGCGAGCGAGCTCAGCGGCTGCAGCGATCTCTCGATAAGCCACCTAGAGGCGACTCAGTGCGCGCGCTCCCCAGTGGCTCCCGCCCTCCCTCTGATCATGTTGACATATTCACAGGACAGGCAGTAGTACCGATGCGGCGCTGCGACGTTACAGTTTCCGACACCTTCTTTTTATAACTCGGCTCTATCCCCCAGCACTCGACCTGTGAAAACCACGCCTATGCAGCAACACAATTGGTCCGAAAGCGTCAAAGAGCCAATCAAGAGGCCTCCGGCTCCCCGCAGCCCACAGCGCAGCCCGACCTTCTAGAGCCGCCGAGCAGACGCCCGGGGAATTCTAGAGGCGGAGGAGGGTGGCGAGGAGCTCTCGCTTTCTCTCGCTCCCTCCCTCGCCTACTCCGTCTCTCTCTCTCTCTCTCTTTCTCTCTCTCTCTCTCCTTTCCATTTTCCCCCTCTAAATCCTCCCTGCCCTGCGCGCCTGGACGCAGATTTAGGAAGCGAATTCGCTCACGTTTTAGGACAAGGAACAGAGGCACGGGAGAAGAGCTCTCTGCAAGATTCGGATTGAAACCCAGACACCCTCCGGAGGCTCGGAGCGGAGGAAGGAGGAGGAGGGCGAACGGAAGCCAGTTTGCAGTTCAAGTTTTGATAGCGCCGGTCGTAGGGGGTTTAAATCAGAATTTTTTTTGTTTTTTAAGAGAGACTTTTCCGCTCTCTCGCTCCCGGTGCAAGCCGGGTCTAGCGCAAGTGCAGACGCCTTCAGCGAGAAAGAGAGAGAGGAAGAGAGATAGGGAGGCGGGGGAAGAAGAAAAAGGGAAGGTAAAAAGTCTAGGAGAACCATTCGCATTTGCAACAAAGAACCCAGGGACTGGGGAGAGATTCCCGGGACGGAGGGCTGGAGTGTCTATTTCGAGCTCAGCGGCGGGGCTCCGGCGCGAGCCGAGACCCTGCTCGCTCCTCTCGCTTCTGAAACCGACTTTCCGGAGCGGCTTTTTGAACACGCGAGGCACAAGAACAGTCACCCGAGCGACTATGTCTCCTGATTTTTCGCCTTGCCCTCTTTAAAAGCGGCATTCTCCTCCCCAAAAGACGCTTCCCCTCCCTTTGAAGTGCTTTAGTTGTGCTTTCTTCCTTTTTTTTTTTTTTCCTCTTTTTCTTTTGAACTATGTGCGGCTGGTAAACAAACCAACCAACCAACCAAAAAAACCCCAAAAGCCAAAGACAGCAGCTGCGGACTTGTCCCCGGCTGGAGCCCAGCGCCCCGCCTGGAGTGGATGAGCCTCTCCATGAGAGATCCGGTCATTCCTGGGACAAGCATGGCCTACCATCCGTTCCTACCTCACCGGGCGCCGGACTTCGCCATGAGCGCGGTGCTGGGTCACCAGCCGCCCTTCTTCCCCGCGCTGACGCTGCCTCCCAACGGCGCGGCGGCGCTCTCGCTGCCGGGCGCCCTGGCCAAGCCGATCATGGATCAATTGGTGGGGGCGGCGGAAACCGGCATCCCGTTCTCGTCCCTGGGGCCCCAGGCGCATCTGAGGCCTCTGAAGACCATGGAGCCCGAAGAAGAAGTGGAGGACGACCCCAAGGTGCACCTGGAGGCTAAAGAACTCTGGGATCAGTTTCACAAGCGGGGCACGGAGATGGTCATTACCAAGTCGGGAAGGTAAGCAAGGGATTGGGGTCCCCGCCCCCCAACTACTGGAAGGGTTTTCCTCCCTTTATCTCTCTCCTCCCAGAACAGTCGGTTGGCGGGTTTTTACGGCTTGGACGAAAACTTAGTTCCCTTAGAAATGTGTACAGAGACTCTCCCAGGCCCTGCTCTAGTGGCAGAAAATTTCAGCTTACCTGGGCGTCTGCGTAAGTGCTCCATGGGACTGCGTCCTGGCTTCCCTACAGAACAGTACCAGAATGTTTCAGTGGTGCACAGACATTCCCGCAGGAAGCAAGAAAAGCACCCCACTGCAAGAAGTTCACTCTTCAGACCTTTCTGGAATATCCTCATTCTTTGGTTGATGTGTTTTTGTCTGTTGTATTTTGTACTCAGAGAGAAAAACTTACAGCCCTTTTCTTTTGTGATGGTAGTGGGAGGCCTTTTCTGCCCTTCAGCCTAGCCTCCGGGTCTGGAGGGGGCCTGAGCCTACCGCTGCCAGGGACAGAGAGAAATCGAAGGACATTTTGGTTTGTTTGCCCACACCACTTCACGTGTGTCTGTAACCCCAGGGAGAGTTCAGCAGGCAATTTTGGATAATTAAGATATGTTTGCAGACCTCAGGAGGCAGTGGGGAGACATAACACTGGTTTTTTAATGTGTGAATATTATAAACCATATTTTACGTAATGTTTAAAGGTCCTTGCCTGACCGAAACCTGCCTGGAAGAGAGGACCCTGTAACAAAATCACTGATTTTTTTTTTTTAAATGGCACTGAAGTCTATAAAGGCACAAAGTTGAACGGATAAAAATAAAACCCTCCTCTTGATGTCTTCAGCTTTCTGTCTCCTTCCAAGCTAAATGGGGCCAAAGTTTGGCATAAAATCCTCCTCCAACCCACAAGACATTTAGTTAGTTTCCCAGTGAAGTGTTTCCTTTTAAGTCAAGAGTACAGAATGCCAACACTTCTGTGAAATTAACAGCAATTTGGCCGCACGATCTTGCAGTTTTGGACCGGCATAAGGAGCAGGGGAATGTGGCTAGCAGCTCCGTGGGCAGATGGGTTATCGGGCCTGCGGATCGACCCCAATCCGCAAAATTCATTCTGAGAACCTGCTTAAGTCCAGTTTCATTTCTCCAACTGCGGGATTGCTGTTCTGCAGCAGAGAGGGGGTGCTGCAACTTCATGTTTATTTCCTTGATAAGTTTAACATTTTCTCATCAATGGGTGGTGGAAAATCCTGGTCTCGACTGACCGCACTTTACCACAATCGTATCCCAAACCGTTTTGAGCTAGATACCCACAGAAAAAGACATGGGCATGAATTTTCTGTAAAGAGGGCTATCTGTAAACTCACAGAGAGAAAAAAAAAATTTTTGAAAGACTGATTAGACAACGTAGAGAAATGCAGTGCCACAATTCATTTGTTTTGAATCTTGGGACATCTAAATAAAGAGAAATTGAGCATATTTAATATTTTAGTTGTAGAAGAAAATTTTACAACCAGTTGCCCTGCTCTGAAAAGCATAAGCTCGCCAGTTAATAGAAAGTCTTCGATTTGGTTTAAGTGTTTTAGGATAAATAGGAAAGCAAACCTAGGCTTCTGAGTGATTTATCTTTCTTTTTTCTTTTCTATTCTTCCCTATCGTAGGCGAATGTTTCCTCCATTTAAAGTGAGATGTTCTGGGCTGGATAAAAAAGCCAAATATATTTTACTGATGGACATTATAGCTGCTGATGACTGCCGATACAAGTTTCACAATTCTCGGTGGATGGTGGCAGGTAAAGCTGACCCTGAAATGCCAAAGAGAATGTACATTCACCCGGACAGCCCCGCTACCGGGGAGCAGTGGATGTCTAAAGTCGTCACTTTCCACAAACTGAAACTCACCAACAACATTTCGGACAAACATGGATTTGTAAGTTTCCTTGCTCCTTTCAGTGAAATTTTCTCTTTCTTCATGCTATCAAAGGCAGTGCTTCCCTATTTATCGAGTTTCCAGCCCAGACCTCTCCCTTGCTTCCCCCTAAGCATAGCAAACTTATCCGATCTGCAACAGAGCCAGAGAAAGGAGAGGATTCTGGGGTGTTTCTCCTGGATAATGGAAGGCCTGGCGTTCTAAAAGAAACAGTGGCAGGAAAACTTACCAGCTCGTGTTCTCTAGCAATTCCAGCTCCTTGGTAGATGCCTGACCTGGCGGTGGAGTTAAAAACTGATCATTACGATCTAAAATCAATTTCAAAGCTATGTGTTCATAAAGGATTTGTTTTGGTTTAAAACATCATACTTCTGTTTTCAAACCAGCCATATTATTTCTTGGAAAAGTTTGAGTTTCTCGGAGGCTTGACTATGTTGGTTAAATGGTGTGAATACATTTTTTTTTTAAACTTATTTTTTTTTTCACTGAAAAAGAATTGATTGGGCTTAGATGAGAGTCAGGTTTACTAGAAATGAGGCTTAGATCTCTGGTAAAAAGTGGTGTGTGTGTGTGTGTGTGTGTGTGTGTGTGTGTGTTGGGAGGGTCTATATGGATTCAGTGAGAGAGGGCTTAGAAACTTTTGGAAGACTTGGATTGCTTGTACAAGTCAGGCAAGGGACCTTTTGCCCCTTTCTCTACACCTCCCCAACATTTCAATAAAGTAAACAGAGTGATAAGCGAGGCATAAGCAGAAAGATTAGGCCCAGGAAGACGTGAATAGCGCGGAAATATCTTCAGCGGGCAGGAATTGCATTTGAAGCCCTTGATTTGATTAAGGCATAAATATTCCTCTCTAGAGTTCAGCCTTTCAGGGCTTTAAGTGGATTGGGCTCGGCAATTAGTGGGCGCTTAAAGTACTGAATCATTTTGTAAATTAAAATGCATGTTTTTCTCTATCTTTTAAGACTTTGGCCTTCCCAAGTGATCACGCAACGTGGCAGGGGAATTATAGTTTTGGTACTCAGGTAGGCTAGGGTTCAAGGTACGAATGATCCTTAGATGGTGAGGGTGGGGGGGACCCTTTGGAAATTGAGGAGCAATTTGGATTCTCCAGAAGATAACATCTGTGGAGCAAAATGTACCCAGGAGGTACTCCAAGGAGGAGGTGGGCTCGGTAAAAGTGGTACAAGCGTAGTACCCTGCGGTGGGGGAAGATGTCAGCTTGGCAGGGGTCCTAAGATCCCATTTGTCTTGCTAAATCCTCTTTTTTTTTTTTTTATGTGTGTCTCTTCCCTGCCCCTGCAGACTATATTGAACTCCATGCACAAATACCAGCCCCGGTTCCACATTGTAAGAGCCAATGACATCTTGAAACTCCCTTATAGTACATTTCGGACATACTTATTCCCCGAAACTGAATTCATCGCTGTGACTGCATACCAGAATGACAAGGTAACTGAGGGGGCTCTCCTTTTTAATGGTAATGTTTTGCCTCCCCTTGAAGCTGCTTTGGGTCAGGGTGAGAAACTTACTAGAGAATTGGGATGAGAGCCTGGAGTTTTCTTTTGTGATTTTTGGAACATCGAGATAGGGTGAGGAACACCAGCACCTTAAGGAGGCAGCAAAAGCCTCTCAACCAGCTATGAATCCAATGCTAAGTTAAAAAAAAAAAAATGCCAAAACAATTTTGTCACCAAGAAGCTCCTCTAGCTCCTGTCGCTGTTGGCACCCAGTCTCTGCCCCCCACCTCAGCTTCGCTCTGTCTGTTTCAAGGCTCATTCTCTTCCCCATTCAGGAAGAAGGATCCAGAAATCAGGTTCCAAAGGAACCAGCTAAAAATTTAAGGCAAAAGCCATTTGGGATCCTGGGGGGAGAATCCTAGTGGAGACTAGTTTTTCACCCCTAGCCAGAAATCCTGAGTAGCTGGTCTGGTTTTTATTACCTTTTATGCTGCTGTGTTTTTTATGATGTGTGTGTGTTTGTGTGTGTGTGTGTGTGTGTGTGTGTGTGTGTGTGCATGTGCACACACGCGTGCATGTGTGTGGTTGGAAAAACCTACCCTGATCACAGGGTCATACTAATGAAATTGTCTGAGCCTGTTGAGTTAAGGTGACCAAAGTCACCACTTCATTTGAAAAATTTTTTTTTCTCTTGGGCCTAAAGCTGGGGAATAAAAGGACCCCCAGATAGGGAAGCACCTGATATCTAGAGTTATGGTGGCCTGAAGGTCATGGACACAGAGAAAGTGACCCTTGCTGCTGATTCACCCGTTTCCAGAATGGCAGTTAGCAGGCAGTTCTGGAGGTGGGAGGAGGGGTTGGGACCCTGCCCTTCAACTTCTGAATCCTGGACTTCAGTGACAGCCCAGTTCACCTGATGACACCCTGCATTTTCAACTCACTGTCACTGTCAGTGGGTCCTTTGTAGACCTATGATGGGGGTGTTCCAGAGACATTTCTTTAGTCTGGGGACTAAGATATCATGACCCCCCTCTCCCTGCCAAGCCTGAAACCTGAAGTCTTGCATACAGCAATTTATTCCAAGAACAAGAATCCAACCAAGGGGCCCTTTTTCCACCTCTGAGTAACTCTGTATATATAAATTTTTGCCCCCAAGGGGAAGGGATTTGAAAGATTACATACTATGGCATTTTTCTTCAGCATGCAAAATGCATGTTCCCTCTAGACCCAGAATCCTGTGAAACAAAGTTGTTAATGTAATAATAAAATGTAGCATTTTTGATCAGACAAAGAGGCCATGGGCCTTCTCCACTTAACGGCAGTGGCAGAGCATGTAAATGAAAACAAATGTTTCCAGTGGTCATTTTGTCTTTTACATCTGTAATTGTCAGTATTATAATTCCTCAAACCACCCCCACTCCAAGCAAAAAATCAAACTCATTCCAGCACGAGGGTAGCAAGGCCCCATAAATCATTTATTAGATTCATGGAAAAGATTGGTATGTGTGCTCTGTGTGTGTGTGTGTGTTTGGAGACAGGGGAGTACGCCATAACATATTTTATGATTAATTGCACTGTGTAAAAAACTCAAAATGAAAGCATAATTTTAAGATCTACAAGTTGTCCCTCCTGACAACTTTGACAACATTTCCATTTCTAAACCTAAGCTGTTGGCTGCGCAAAGAAAAGAATTTCTTTGGGTAATTTCAGCCTGGAATCCCTGGTTTAGTCTCATGGGAGATGCAAGCCCTGGTACAGTTGCCTTTGATTTTTCCTCTCCATTTTCTCCAATCTGCTGCCATTTCCTCCTTTCTCTGGCATATCCGTATGACTTCTGTTGGTAGTCACATTCTAGGAGACTACTGAGTTGGGAAAAACACTCCCAAAACATTCTGGAAAATGAAGTCAATGTCTCTGTCTTGTTTGTATCTCCTCCTCTAGATAACTCAGTTAAAAATAGACAACAACCCTTTTGCTAAAGGTTTTCGGGACACTGGAAATGGCAGGAGAGAAAAACGGTGAGTTGAAACAATTATTTATTTCTCAGATAATATCTCAGATTTATTTCTCAAGTATTGGAAGTGGGATGCAGGGACTTATAATGAAAAGAGTGGGTGGTAATAATTACTTCCCCTGCCTGACCTGGCGGTGGAGTTAAAAACTGATCATTACGATCTAAAATCAATTTCAAAGCTATGTGTTCATAAAGGATTTGTTTTGGTTTAAAACATCATACTTCTGTTTTCAAACCAGCCATATTATTTCTTGGAAAAGTTTGAGTTTCTCGGAGGCTTGACTATGTTGGTTAAATGGTGTGAATACATTTTTTTTTTAAACTTATTTTTTTTTTCACTGAAAAAGAATTGATTGGGCTTAGATGAGAGTCAGGTTTACTAGAAATGAGGCTTAGATCTCTGGTAAAAAGTGGTGTGTGTGTGTGTGTGTGTGTGTGTGTGTGTGTTGGGAGGGTCTATATGGATTCAGTGAGAGAGGGCTTAGAAACTTTTGGAAGACTTGGATTGCTTGTACAAGTCAGGCAAGGGACCTTTTGCCCCTTTCTCTACACCTCCCCAACATTTCAATAAAGTAAACAGAGTGATAAGCGAGGCATAAGCAGAAAGATTAGGCCCAGGAAGACGTGAATAGCGCGGAAATATCTTCAGCGGGCAGGAATTGCATTTGAAGCCCTTGATTTGATTAAGGCATAAATATTCCTCTCTAGAGTTCAGCCTTTCAGGGCTTTAAGTGGATTGGGCTCGGCAATTAGTGGGCGCTTAAAGTACTGAATCATTTTGTAAATTAAAATGCATGTTTTTCTCTATCTTTTAAGACTTTGGCCTTCCCAAGTGATCACGCAACGTGGCAGGGGAATTATAGTTTTGGTACTCAGGTAGGCTAGGGTTCAAGGTACGAATGATCCTTAGATGGTGAGGGTGGGGGGGACCCTTTGGAAATTGAGGAGCAATTTGGATTCTCCAGAAGATAACATCTGTGGAGCAAAATGTACCCAGGAGGTACTCCAAGGAGGAGGTGGGCTCGGTAAAAGTGGTACAAGCGTAGTACCCTGCGGTGGGGGAAGATGTCAGCTTGGCAGGGGTCCTAAGATCCCATTTGTCTTGCTAAATCCTCTTTTTTTTTTTTTTATGTGTGTCTCTTCCCTGCCCCTGCAGACTATATTGAACTCCATGCACAAATACCAGCCCCGGTTCCACATTGTAAGAGCCAATGACATCTTGAAACTCCCTTATAGTACATTTCGGACATACTTATTCCCTGAAACTGAATTCATCGCTGTGACTGCATACCAGAATGACAAGGTAACTGAGGGGGCTCTCCTTTTTAATGGTAATGTTTTGCCTCCCCTTGAAGCTGCTTTGGGTCAGGGTGAGAAACTTACTAGAGAATTGGGATGAGAGCCTGGAGTTTTCTTTTGTGATTTTTGGAACATCGAGATAGGGTGAGGAACACCAGCACCTTAAGGAGGCAGCAAAAGCCTCTCAACCAGCTATGAATCCAATGCTAAGTTAAAAAAAAAAAAATGCCAAAACAATTTTGTCACCAAGAAGCTCCTCTAGCTCCTGTCGCTGTTGGCACCCAGTCTCTGCCCCCCACCTCAGCTTCGCTCTGTCTGTTTCAAGGCTCATTCTCTTCCCCATTCAGGAAGAAGGATCCAGAAATCAGGTTCCAAAGGAACCAGCTAAAAATTTAAGGCAAAAGCCATTTGGGATCCTGGGGGGAGAATCCTAGTGGAGACTAGTTTTTCACCCCTAGCCAGAAATCCTGAGTAGCTGGTCTGGTTTTTATTACCTTTTATGCTGCTGTGTTTTTTATGATGTGTGTGTGTT